CGTGAGTTTTACTCTCAAACTGCAGCAAAAGATCACAGAAACTCTGGAGGAAGGTCGGATGCATGGCTCATCTCGGAAGTCCAGCAGTTTGTCCTCTGATACAGTCTCACAATGAATTTACCCTTCAAAAACCTGGGGATGAACCGTATCTTCACGGCAATACATCAGCACTCAACAACCCATTTCTCACCAAAGCCACGCACTGTGAAGGAAAAAACGCACCCCCATGCTGGCTTTGAAAATCTCGACATCGAATTTCACAATGTCGATCAGGATTGACAACGATCGAAGGACTGATTCAGTCGGCGAGAGCGAGGAAAACTTTTTGAGGAGCTGGGTAAATTGTCGGCGCAATGCGGATGGCTGGAAATCAAAAACATCGGAGAACATCAACAAAAAACTAAAAGCTTCAGAAGAGAAGGCAGAAAAAAGCCTTTTTCCTGGAATGCCAACGAAGTAAGTGCTTGCCTTAATATTCCCCCCACAAAGGACTGATTTCGGAATAAACGCTTGTATTGCCGAATCCATATTGACTGCATCAATGTCGATCTTGTGGTCGAGACATGATTTACTGAAGATGTAGAGCATCTTCGTATACAAATACGTAATAAACAATACATAATAAACAAACTAATATAAAAAACAGCATGAAAAACATCAAGAACCAACTAACACTTGCTTTTCGAGGCAATCCCGGCAAACTTTGAGGGCAGCCAGCTCGAGGGCGGCTTCGAGGCTGACCTTCCAGGCGACATGCCCGAGGAAATCTTCGAAAACCTTAACATAAGTTACACTCAACAGCTCTTCCACTTTCCACGGCGCCATCAATCAAATACAGTTGGTAGCAATAATAACACTAACACACCTGTTCATTGAGGTAGAAGAATGCATTGGATTCAGTCAACAAGAGCTCATAAGCAGATTGTGGGATGAATCTCAGCCTCAGTTCAAAGCTGCAATTATATAGTTGGATTGATTATCACATATGAACCCAAACATCAAGAAAACTTCAGACCTAAGCATATAATCAAACTCTAGAGGCGCAGTTCACGATAAAAATGGTTTCTGAGGTTCCCACACAGGATGATTTTGAGGCCCCCACGTATACCACATCTGGCACTATTGGGTGGGAAAACGGCCTAGTGGGGAGTTATAAAGGCTCAAAGATTGGTCCGCGTATATCCTCGGACGAGTTTTACCGGCATTGTAGAGACTACACCAGTCACAAGGGAGCCCATGTAGGAATTCAAACAACTTGTCACGACCCATAGCGACAGTGAAAGGTAGTTCTGTACAGTTCTGGCTTGATGTAGTAAGCTCTCTGCACAAGTGCAACAACTGAAATCTCGTCTGAAGCCCCTTCCCATGTTATTCCGTCATGGTAATCTCGTCCCACCTCTATTTTCCCTACTTTTTGTGCCCTTAAACACCCTAGTTTTATAGCTAATCAACCATACACTACATGAATAGCGGACCATGTACGAATTGTCCTTGGAAGCATCAAAGAGCTTGAAGACGGAAGCCTATCTAATCTAAATCTATCTATCTCCCTAATATTTTCAATTTTATTTTATTTGTACGATATTCTGATACTTTTGCATTCAATAATATCTCCTTTTACAAAGCGGAGCTGGTATTGTGCCAAAAGGCATCGCTACCATACGAACGCTACCATTCGGAAACCAAATATCATATCGGAATCTCAGCCAAGGAACGCAAGTCATTCAAGCCCCCTCCGTATTCGGAAACTCTTTGGTGGCACTAGAATGGTCTGTAATGCCAGATATTGCAATTCGTACACTAACTAGCCCTGAAAAATTGTTCAAATATTACTAGTAAGGCATTCGAAGGCCGCTACTACTGTAAAGGTTAGGGAAATACAATTACACACCTTAAATTTAATAGGGAGCCTCCATATTCTATAACTATGATAAAATACGAATTAATTTGAAGTAGTGCCAACTCAAGTAACACAAATATAATTCTGTGACAAAAGACTATCACTAAGAGGAAGCTATGGCATGTTTATGAACTGTTCGAGATCAGTATTTAGTTAAACTGATGGGGCAAGTGATAGGTTGCAAGGGCCGTTGACGCTAAGAGCAGTTTTATTTTCTAGAAGATCCGAATCCGGAGACGCTAGTGATCCCGACGAGAAAGGCAGCCACTCTAACAACCATTAGTACTGCCGAATTTTCCCCTCGCAATTCGATGTTTACTTATATCAAATCTTATTGTAGATATTATTCTTCATAAATAACAGAAACACCGGGTTTACTTCTGCTTATACATCCATTTGCTACCTCTATTCCGCACCGGGCCAAGCCACGCAGTGAGCCACTTTCAGCACATCGAAAGATATACTGAATCCGCACCCTCAATTTTTCAAGATATAGATTGTATAGGGATCCCCTTCACTAACCAGCGGCTGTTCGTTGAAAAATAAAATGTCATGGGTGGAATGATTAATTGGTGTTGAGCCTCACACACTGAAAATGTCCGACACGTGGCGTTCAAGACCTGGTGGCGGGCCGCTAACATTCGAGTGCCAACTGTCGCATTCCAAAGCCACAGAATAACTATGGAATGGAAAGAAACAACTTTTTTTGTGAAGTCTGTCTGAATAACTCCGCTGTTACTACTACGTTTATACAGCACCTTATACATCAGTCATTACTTCGATCGAATACCTCAGAAGGTGTGGCAAAGATCCAAAAAGCCGTCGGGTAAGCAGAACACTCGAACTGCCTACATTCAATCTGAGTGGGTCATTGTTAAAGGCAGGCGATGCGTATCTGAGAAAATACTTATTTCCCCAAGAATCTTTAGTTTTTACTAATTATAAAAACAGTGGAAGACTATGACACCGTTCAAGGCCTTAAAACTTGACCTCTATATTTCCTGTGGTAAAACATCCGCTACCCTAAGTTGGAAAGGCTATAGACCAAAAATTTAATGGTCAGAACAGAAAGGGATTCTCTTCCAAATCCTGCTGCCCAGAAAGTTGTGCAGTCCCTTACAACTGGGTTCCCTTTTTTTCGTGACAAGGTGTTCGTTTGCCCAATTGGGCTAGACCAGCAATTAGACATCAGACATGAGGACCATCGTTCTCTAGGGTCTCGGAAAATCCCAACCCATTGTGGTAAACCTACGATGAGCTAGATAATTACAGAAAGAGATTCTTTCCAAAGCTGCTCTTCTTTCCTGTGGAAGCAAAAATTGCAGTGAAATTTATTCAACTCTTATGAGTCTTCAATATTACAGAAAATAAAATTCTCCAGATCGTACGAAATATGAAGGGAAGTCATGTAGTTGACGGTTGGGTGGAATGCCTGAGGTGGTAGTCCCTATGGGAAAAAGCTGTCCTGCTCCCGCGCGAAACCAAGGCTCGCATAATGCTCAAAACATGCTTTATCTTGATTGACCTCAAAACACCAGGATTTAGGACCTCGCAAATCAAAGCCTTTAATACCCGGACTCACAATTGATGTCACACACGCTGCTGTTTTCAATCAGTGCAGCATAAAGGGTATATTACATATTGAAACTAATAATATTGATGAAGAAATTAACAGAGCCTCTAAACCAACTATACTGGGTTACACGAAAAGGTAAATTGAATGCATTGCTTTTNCTCGCATAATGCTCAAAACATGCTTTATCTTGATTGACCTCAAAACACCAGGATTTAGGACCTCGCCAATCAAAGCCTTTAATACCCGGACTCACAATCGATGTCACGCACGCTGCTGTTTTCAATCACTGCAGCATAAAGTGTATATTACATATTGAAACTAATAATATTGATGAAGAAATTAGCCGAGTCTCTAAACCAACTATACCGGGTTACACGAAGAGGTAAACTGAATGCATTGCTTTCAATTCCACTTCACTATTGGGTTCCAAACAGTTCAGCGTACACCCTAGAGTAGACCCGAGTTTGGCCAGCTAACTTCTCGGCCTCCCCTGGGGAGAATCAAAGTAGCTTCGAAAGTTTTCATGAGCTATGACCAAGTAAGTATGGACTCAAACAACATCCAATCCTGAATAACAAAAACATGTAAGTTGTATTCAAAAATGTATTCGAGCAGTAGAATCACGTTAAAGATCGGTTCAGTGCAGGAAAGCTACCCAGTAAACATCCTTTCAATCTTCCAAAACAAAATATATTGGAGTTTCCGAAGTTCCCGGCAATCTGAATTCGCTTATCGTCCCATGGAGAGATACAAAGCTGTAAGACCCGAACAAATGCCAAAAAGACACGCTCAGGAAGACGTTACGGAGTCATCCGACCAGTCCCTCCGTGAAGGAGAAATTGCTAGCTAGAACCACACATCTATCCAGAATCAGAACAATTTTCCACTGCTCCAGCATGTACATTATTCCAGTTTACGAGCAATGCATCTCTAAAACTGTCCCAGAGGATTTTTTCTTTTTTTTTCAGGTTTTTTTTTCGATTTTGAAATGGTAGAAACCTTCGCTGACCCCAAAATATGTGACGTCTCCTTCTTCAGCTTTTTTTTGTTAAAATTATTTTCAGGAGAATACAAGAATATGACGACTTTTACGCGGCCAGAAATAGTCGCTTTATCCATCAAGCTTTCCACAAATAAGACTTCCCACTTTCCTGTAAGTTGAAAGTCACGTTCATGGGATAATTTCGGAACTTCCCATGCGTTATTAAAACGTTTGCCTGTTTACTTTGTACATTGACCTCTCTTTCCCTCTCTCAAGTTTCAGGGTGATTCCGGAACAAGCAAAAGCTCTATGTTCAAAAGATATCGAAGATATAAATAAATTTCAAGTGCAGGGCGATTCTCTTTCATTTTAAAAACCATATATGGCGTCTGAACAATGGATTGCACTGTATGGGCATCCCATGGGGCCTACCAATCAGAAAAGCCGTGCCCGTTCCCTGCACCCTCAGCGGTTGCAGGCTCGGAATTCGCGATATTAGCCCTCTCTGGAAGTTTCGGAGCAGGTCTCCGGAAGGAAGATAGTATCCATTGTTACCACACTTGCTTTGACAATAGCAAAAGGCGAAAGGCGTACATATGCGTACTAATAATCAAAGCCAACTTTTGAAACGAAAAAGACCCTTTTCATTCCTCATTATTATCTGGTTCGGAACAACTGGTTTTCGACTAACTTCTTACCTTTCGCACAGTCATCCATTCACCTCTCTGCTCTTGAAGCCACACTAATAATGCTAACGAGTTTTCGTCCTAATCGTAAGTCCTTCCCATGCCCTTTGAGGTTTTTTTCTCCCAGTAACGCATTCATTTATTCTCTAGGCCATTTTGGGACTTTTTAACCGTTTAGTTTCCCATAAGCTATCCTTTTTTAACCCTTGGATCCCAGAAGCTATCCATCCGCAGCTTCTTCCCATTTTCTCTTTGAAAATAAAAATCAAAAATCCTGAGAGAGGAAACCATTCAAAGAATAAAAAGTAAACGTCAAGCCTCAGCTGAACAAAGGCAGAAAAACACTGTCACATGCAATAGAAAGAAACGAGAGAAGAGCAGAGCACATGTTGAAGGTCTTCTCAGAAAAAAAAAACTAAAAAAACCAACTGAACGAACTTGAGATCCTGAGGACACGAGCTGGGAGGAAGAAATTTTGCATAAGTGTGCCGTAGATTTGATATGAGAAGATACGGATGAAGCCATACATGATCACCTTAACGAGAGGAGTAAACAGCGTAAACAATAGACAAACACAGTCCAAACTCACCTGCAGTTTTTGGCGAAGGTCCAGATAGTAGCCGAAGCGCAAAGTGAGCATGGGCTACGGCCGCAATACCGATTCCTTGAAGTACCACCTGGAGCACTCGCTGAAATTACTTATCAGGAATTGATTCTTCCTAAAAGTTACTTTTAAAATAAATTCCAAGTCCCTGGAAAGGATGAATGAGTTTTTCCAATGCTCTATATGATTCATTACGGTCGGCGGCTGCATTGTGAAAAAACTTGTGACATTTCATAAATATTTCACTGCCCATCCCAATCCCCCAGGGTAAGGGAGGATGAATGCGACATCATCCATCCGTCTCCGGGATTGATATAATCCAATTCGTTTTCCACGCAAACAGACGATCGAACTCAACGTCGTCGCTCTTCTGTTCACATAAAAGTTTCTGCATGTCAACCACCTATCAGTCTTTCCGCGATTTTAAGCATGCGATAGGGAAGATTTCTGTTTGCGCTGGGAGAAGAGGCGAAAAACCAGAAAAGGCAAAAATAACGTCTCCATGAAGTCACAAAAAAGCTCAAAGATGGTAGGACAAGCCGATGGGAAGAAAGACAATGAGGAAATATCAGAATAAGATGACCTAAAAGCAGGGCTCTTGAGCCTGTCTTAGCAGCAACAGTAGTCTCCTATAGAATTAACTCTCGGGACTGTGAGCTCTTAGCAATCCATCGAGATTACTTGAAGTTGTCGAGAGGCCCTTTGAAGCATCTTAAAGCCATCAAGTTGACATCCAAGTTGATGGCAGCTGTCACAGCTAATAACACGCTTTGAGGATATCCTGCTATGGATCTCCGTTTTACCGAGGCTCACGACAAAAAGTGGCCTCCAGGAAACCCGACAAAGATTCCTATGCAATTTCGTGATCCAATGGGGCAGCGGACGGATAGATTTACAATGATGAAATCCCGCTACGAGTTCTCAAAAGTGCCCGCTTAGGTCAGGAGCTCTGTCTACATCCAATGTTGACTTCCGCCTAATTGCTCGTAGTTCTACCGTGTACGACGAAACCGACTGGCTCTATAGTAAACACGCTATGTTTGGACACGTCCTTGAGGGTACGGATGTTGTGTAGCTTCTTGAAAGTCATAGATGACAACCCGTGAAGGGCTGCATCGTTTCCTATGTATTGTGATCCCTCGGCCATCAGATTTCATAAATTTCAGATAAGAGGCAAGATTTCTCGGAGGAGGCACCAAGGAATACACTGTTTTCAGGGGTAATCTTGGTTTGAATAGCAAACTCTTTTGAAAATGGCACTAAAACCATTTTTTCTTTTTGGAAAAAGTAGGACTAAATATAGTAGTCACACAATCTAGCCATGCAGTAATTCAAACTGCGTTTTGTTTTACATTTGGACAAGTATTCATTACCCCGTAAATTACCTAAAAATTACCCTAATAAATGTAAAATGGCTATGAGTCCCTTCTTGTGCCATAATAGAACATTAAACTCAAGAATGAACACCAGTCCATAGAAATTGATCAGTAAAGATGACTGACCAGATTTTTGTAATAAAAAAGATGATGACAGATAAACAAAGAATGAATGGGTGCTTCCGGTGGCTGAGTTGAGGAGTATATTGTAGCTCTACTCAACAAATACCCAAAGAGGGGTTAAAATCGGAATTCCCTATCCTAATGCAGCCAGCCGCTCTGTGTTTTTCTTCGGTGTATCTTTGCCCTTTCTCAAAGGAATGCCGTCAAAGCCATCTGCGCTACTCCAGACAGAAACTGGAAACTGAACAAAAATAGATGATGTAAGAGAAAAGCAGAACTAGAGACAGAACATTTGGAAAAGAGGCAATGGCTGATGGTTTCCCAGCATACGATGATATCTAGGAAGGAAAAGTGGGAAATTAAGCAAGAAGTGAAGAAATGACAGTGTGGCACAAGTCCAGAGAGGTTTCAATTACGTATTCATTGCTTTTACAGCAGATCATGGACCAGTAGAGAATTTAAATCGAGTTTTGAATTTGAATGTGATTCAGCGGAAAAATCAGAAGAAGAACTACCAAGAAATTTTAGAACCAGTTGAGCGCAACTTCCTAAAAATCGGTGAAGCGAAGCTTACCATACTATATGCACCCATAAACGAGTAATACCACTACAACAACTTGTTGTCCTTTGTTGATGGCATGAAGTTATCCCCGCCTTATAACCTCAAAATCCGCCTGCTTACAAATTCTGCAGCGATTACAAAAATTCTAAATGACCATGCGAATCGCCAATTTCAGGGCCCCAGCGATGCCGTCTACCACTTGATGGAAACAGGAATTTTTCTTGCAGAGGGATGCTAAAAACATTCGCAGACGGGTCCAGCAGTTCTCATTTCTTTCGGCCTTCCCTGTGCTGAACTGCTGAACAAAATTGGTGAGCGATTAACTTAGGAAACCGCATTTTTTGAACTCTCATTCCTTACGAAAAAATGAACTGGAAACCCTGAACAACGAGATCAGGATCCATTTTGTCATCCCTTTGGTGTTACAGCTTTAAGCTCTGGACCATTCCTCGGCTTTCAGTGTAGTCTGTATTACAAGTAGTTGGGAAGCGTGAAAGACACCTCCAATGAAACCAGCAGCCCTAATATTTTTCCATGTATCGGGTACTTTACAGACACTGAAAGAGGAACTGAGTCTTCAGGAATCCTACAGAAGTTGAACAACTCCAAAATGTAATGTAATGTACTGGTCTTCCGAGTGACCATCGGTTGTTCGAGTCCCCATTTCGAGATATCCATTTACATTACTTTTGATTAAATTATTATACAAACTACTTCAATGATTTCCCTGTCATCAACGCACCAGAGTGACCTGATCGTGGAAAAGTTGCCCACATTTCTTTCAAGAAGTTCGTAGCAAATGAACGAAGCACTCGTTAAAGCACCAAACGAGTGTAATCGCGAACAAAACGTCATCACGAGCTGTTCCACGGGCTTGATTGATTGTTGCAACCAAACTTAATACACCACTAGTTGAACAGAGGAAGAAACATTCGGTCTAACTAGTTGAATGGACCCCTTTAGGCAATATTGGACCCACTTTGCAGTTTGGGAGCACGGGAGTTCCCCGGGAGCAAAATCGCCGGAAAACGTTGCACGGGAAAGATAACGGAAGAACGGAATGATGTAATAGTCGAAAGTTTGCCGAAAGAAAGGGTCATGTGAAAACAGAGAAGGCTGTAAAGAATTGGTGGTGGTTTTAACCACTGTGGAAGGCCTTGGTTAATGAGGTACTTCAACCAGGAAAAAGTGAAGAATGCCATGGCGAAAACGGTCAACATTCAATGATCCAAAAAAAANAAAAAAAACGAGAGATTTCCGAATTTTCAGGGGACTACGCTGAACCATAAACATTCCTCACCGAATTCCATGAGAACTACATTAAAGAGAAATTAGTAAGTGCATCAATGAATTCTTAATGACATCTGACGTAAAACAACAAAAGCAGCAGCTGCTTCTTTTCAACTGGAGTATCAATTTTCGTGATGGAATGTTGCCCTTCCGACAGGGAAAAACTGAGGAAATGCGACTTTTAAATGAACGAAAACTTCGAGAACTCATTAGCGGAGACAAAGTGAGGGTCTTGGATGAGAAGCGAATATTCCATGAACTTTTAAACCCACTGGCCCTCAGGGTTTAATAGGAATTTAATAGGAATAGGATTTTGTAAATAATCAGTATTAATAAACTCAACTGCAAAAAACAAATTTTCTAGGCCTTCAGAAGTTGTTCCGATGGATATGTCCGCTTGCCTTGGAAAATAAAAACACCAACACCCACATCATTAGGCGTCGCAAGTTTTTATACTAACGAAATTTGCAGTCAAACTTCTCGGCGATTCCCAATGGAGGTCTAATGCAGAGCGCATCCCAAAAACCTCGATTATCCCAGTCCACCTTAATGTTTCGAGAGTCTTGAATGGAATCCAATGCAATAATGGCCTTGTTTTAGTATTTCCACAAAAATCTGGCTCCGATCAATGTACATCCGTGACAAACAAGACGAAGGAGCATACGGCATAATCGATAGAAATTTGAGGCAATTTCTTCAACCCACAGCCACCCCATAAAGAGGCATTGTATGGGCCTGTTATCATTTCATCACATGACAGTACTGATTTCACAATGCGCCCCTTGTGGAAGTAGATAACCTTCATAAACGGTGAGCAGATAATTCCCAAGCTCCAGAAGCACATTCCATGTGATCAATCCTTTTGGAATTTATCGTCCCAAACCAGAATCGCAGAGGATGGGCGCAGTGAAAGGGATGAATCATGGCAGTTAGTTGATGAGTAAGTCAATGTTTTCATTGCCGAAAGCGATTCTATGACCCTACCCTAGTTAATGATCGCCACTATTTGACAAGGTCCTAATTGGGCTAGCGGAAATACGAGGCGGCACTTCTTGACCCACTGCGCCCTGTAGACCAAACAAAAGCAAGAAGGCCTCTAAAGGGTTAAAACCAGTAGAAGTAGATTGTGTACCCATCATTGGCGGTGAGTCAACTTGATGCATTCCAACCATCTCAAAAGCATTATAGAGCGAACACTAAACTGAGGCTGAGGTGACGGGGCGATGACGAGTGCCAAGACTCTTTGTCAGAGAGAAACGAAACGAAACGAATCTTTTCTATAACACCTGCATTTTTCCATTTCAAAAACGCATAATACGAACTTGTTTAGTAAAGAACTTTGGTAACAGAAAAGAGGGGTTGACAGTCGAAAAATCGGAAAGAAGGAAGAAGTATCAGAACAAGTTGCGAGGCTTTTAAGACCGGAACTTTTGAAAAAAACTGGAAGAACATTCGGCAAGCTTTCAGTGTGATCGGACGGGCTATAGTTTAGAACATGCCGTGTGTAAACTATATAGAAAGTAGCAAAATCCCACGTTTCCATTCGTTTCTTTTGCATTTTCACGACTTTTCTTTATCGAAAATTCAAAAAATCGAACTTTCAGACTGGAAAATTGAATTGTTCACATAATTAAGCCTAGTTAAGCCCCGTTGAGTTAACTGCCAGCTTTTTTGGGCTCAAAAGTACAAATACAGGGCCGGTCACAGACACTGTTACTGCTAAGTCCTAGAGCCTGGTATCACCGAGGTCAGGACGAACACCTGGGCGGCAGTAATACGAAGATATGGCAGACACAGAATGAGGTCATCTGCATAGTTATTTACCGGCACTCCCGAGAATAACTGGGAGTTACCCATTCCTGAGTGGAGCTAATTTACCACAAAGGGTGTATCCAAGAAGATACTGGACCGGAATTATACATTTAGCCCTGGCTTTCGCATTTGGGAGTGCGTTCTTGGATGCAATGCACTATTTCTTGAATATATTTATGCAGATGTGTTTCTACTGTTTACTAAAAGTTTGTTGTTTGGCATTTGGACCGGATAAATCCTTGGTTTGAGTCACTAAAAGAATGCAAGTGGGAGAAAATTACACTGGGTAATGCCCGAAGGTGACACTGAATACTGAACATATGGCAAAGTAGCTTGATTGATATCCCTCCACACCATACACACAATAAAAAACATTGACGACAACGAAAACAAAAGATATTGGAATAGTAATGAACACATTGATATAGTAGAAAAGAAACAAAAAATGACAAAAAGGTACCGTATCCCATATAGGAACATAAGGAAAGCTTGGACATGAAAAAGAAATACAAACATTCGGCAAAGGACGATGTTGTCTTTGCTAGAACGCCACATTTTAGTCAGTGGCACTAACGGCTGTGATGCTATAATAGAGATATGGGGCAAGAATTGATTAATGACCGTGGGACCATCTATTCGGCAGATTTTTTTGGCCAAACATTAAGCGCTAGGCCACCATCACTCTCACCTGCCCACTCCTCAACTACGATCCGGGGTTTCAACTCTGACCATTGACCCCTTCAGGAGCCCAGAAATTATAGGGAAACTATAATGTTTTAGTAGAAGACATCAAAAACCATCAAATGCGATCTGGCTAGCAGCCTCGAAAGGGGAAAAACAGCGAAAAGAACTCGTAAAACTAACAAAAAGCTAATCTACACATCAAATATGACTGCTGAGGCTTTAACGAAGCTAAAAATTTTCGATTCTACTAATTAAAAGCAGAAGCATTTTCAAACGGCAAATTACAAAAATAAGCAAGTGCGAATGCATGGCGTAGACGGGTCAAGAGAAGAAATGAGAGTGAAAACAGACCTCAACGGTGGTCTCATCATCGTAGCGGACCGCTTTGCAGCCGTTTCCGACCGTGAACACCCGGGCGATGCAGTCCATGCCGGGTGCATCCGAGCCGTGCGCTCGTCGATCCTCCCAGGCACAAGAGACACCGACCCTCCAACGGGTGCTGGCCGAGGAGGCGTAATCGACGTTTGAGTTTCGCGCTCCCCCTGAATCAGGCCCACCAGAGACCAGCGATCGATGCACTGCGGCCAATTCTCGCTCTCGCGCATTTTCTGCAAGGTGGCCGCCGTCAGCTATTTGGTAGCTTTACTTTTATCGATTATTTTGGTCTCTATATCAATCTCTAGACGTTATAGCGATGTTATTTTGTGCACTTTACCTTTGTCTCTTTTTTAGATGCTCATTTGTTCTCGTAGGGGGTTCACAAGGCCATGAAAAATGGTGATTTTTGGGGCTTGATGGCAACTGTTCCTGTCAGTTTACCTTCCATAAGGCGTTGCATTTTAATAATCTGGTTGATATTTTATTTAATATTCTGAAGAGTCTTCTTGATGAGTTGTCTCCGATCACAGTAACTTGGTCCCCTATCATGCTATAGACCATCTGGACTTTGTTTGAACTCCTAAAAATGTGTTAGCTTTTGGCATTGTGTATCCCACTGTGAAGGCCCCTGAACTAATTTTTTAAAAGTAGTTCATTTTGGTATAACTGATCGATATTTTATGGAAAACCAGTGCACTTATTCAAAAAACATGCTCACGAGGTTTGTTGCACTTTCCAACAATCTAATCTTGTGATGTTTCAAGGTTGTTTATTTCTTGTTTTGATTTCATTTAAGTGAAGTTCGGCAATCAGATTTGAAGTTGGTTGAAACTGAGTGCTTATATTAGGACGAGTATTTCTTGATTGAATTCTTTGGTTACTAAGTTCGCTTCAAATACTTCCTATATTGGAGAAAACTCGCAAAAAAAGCGTAGTAGATTCAGATCAATTTGCGGTGAATGATACTGGTNATTTTAAGGGCTTATCATGTAACATTTAATTCAGCATCTTCACGCTAGAATGCTTTTGTCTTGCGAAACACATAGAAATAAACATAAGCGTGACTTACTTTTTCGATTGACCTCTTTAATTTTATGATCAACCTCTATGTATTAAATACTCCTTATGTCAAACAAGGCTTTTACACAAAGGCGACGTCGAACAGCAAAGGGAAAGTGAAAGGTCTCTGACCATTTCAACTTCATCGACCAATCAATTAGAAGTCTTCTATCGCTGCGGACAAGAATTTTCACCTGAAGTTATTTTTAGCCCTATGACGTGCTGATTCACGAACGTATAACTCCTGGCAGAAGCCTGACAACTTCTCGTTATTCCAGCTTAGTGGTTCTATATGGAAGAGAACGCCGGATTGGGAACTAGTTTTGAGTTGCGGAGGCTAACACCAGAGGCTAACTGTTGCTGAGTCCCCATGAGGATTGGTTTTTGATATTCCTCGACAGTCTAGCCCAATGAGGTGAGCTGGCTCTAATTCAGCAGCGTGGTAGGGAATGCGGAGGAACTGGTACATCTCGAGCCGGGTACGGATCAAAAGCGGTTACTGCTTAGCGAAAGTGTACAATATTACAGCAGCAGTTGTCTAAGCTGAAGGATGCCTCATCTCAGTCGTCGATAAGCAATTTTGTTTTTAATTATGAGCTTGCGATGGTTTAGTATATTCCTCAGCGTAGATTAGGAGCGGGCAGGGGTTTTCACATTGATGTTTTCATTCATGTGTTAAAGAGGCATTAAGATTCAGAAACATTTTTAGATTGAACTTTGACGATTATTCCGAATTTATGATCTCGTGCGTTCCGCAGTTTTCTATTTATGGCGTTTTTGAAAGACTAACTTTTTTGCAGAGGACAAACAATGGGTGAGTTCATGTTCAATATCGATCATGGGTATTTGGAAGCTCTGATCCGTGGATTCAAAACCGGACTGCTTTCTCAAAGTGATTACGCAAACCTTGTCCAGTGTGAAACCCTTGAAGGTTAGTTGTTTATAACTAGTTTGTGTTTTGTGCACTGTGTTCACTATTAGTCTGTGTAGACCCTTTTGTATTTATATAATCGTTTACCTTGATGATTTCTCAATTTAGACTTGAAGCTTCACATTCAGTCTACCGACTACGGTAACTTCCTGGCAAATGAACCTGGGTCGATCACAGTAGGTTTTTCTGTTGGTTATCTCCCCTTACTAATATCTAAATAGAGTATATCAGGTACAAGTGATTGACGAGCGACTAAAGGAGAAGCTTGTAACTGAATTCACTCACCTTAGAAACAATGCTCTCGAACCTCTGGCCACCTTTTTGGATTATATAACGTGAGTAGTTTTATTCCGTACGACTCTATAAATAGGGAAGATGTGCAGAGAAGACCTATATTGTTAGCTAATGCCTCCCATTTTAGATTGCACAAAGCTGTTTAGGTATTCATACATGATTGATAACATCATCCTTCTTATCACTGGTACCCTTCATCAGCGTCCAATTTCTGAGCTCATCAGCAAGTGTCACCCTCTTGGTAAGTCATTTTATTTTTTTATGCTTTCAACTTTGGGAACCTCCTTGTTCGAATCCTTTGACTATGATTATTTTTCGCCGAGTGAAAATTAATATATCTTCCTCTCTTTTTCACGCTCCATTATAAGTGGTCTTAATGGCTGTGAAATACAGTTGGTTGAACTACGGAACCCTAATAAGTATAAAACTAGAAGTCTCGAACCCATTAGCAGTTGTCATTCATTCGTTAAGTATTTGGGTGTCTAATACTAAAATGTTGTCCTGAAGCAACTATCGAATGAGTAGTAACTCTGATCAGTCCCAAATCAGATTTTCTCACTAATCGGTTTTACATTGTTTAAGAATTGATTTGAAGGTTCGTTCGAACAAATGGAAGCCATCCATATTGCATCCACTCCTGCTGAACTCTACAACGCCGTTCTCGTCGACACTCCTCTTGGTTAGTAAATGGTCGCGTTTCTTTTAACAGTTTTGCACATTATTTTCATTGGGTGCTATTTTGTACGTGATGTTTTTGTCTCAGTTCAATCAGCTTAACCTTATTCATTTTCTGGACCTTCTATTCTTTCAGACGCTGCTGCTTTTGTATAAGGGTTTAGTGCCCGTTATGGGTGCACAGGATTCTTCGAAAACGTTAGTGGAGTGGTTAGAGACTATAAATGAAGAGCAAGAATATTTGCTTGTCAGAACAGTGATCGAGAACCATATGGCTCAATTAACTCACGCTATAATGGGATGCGCCATTCTGTGCTAATGCGCACTCACGACGGTAGTGATGCTAAAGGCATTATAGGGTACATCAACCGATAGTCGTGAGATTCCTTCTCCGCTGCGTGCGAAAGCTGGCTTTTAGCTAGCCTTGAGTGCACGTGATCGAATCTGTCATGAGGAGTAAGATGTATTGCGTGTTGTAGTTCTTCATAATTTTTATTAATGCTTCATTTTTATCCAGCAACAGCAATTCCGAATTCCTCGGTTTTGTTGAAAACAAAATCGGGGAATTCGGAATTGCTGTTGCTTCTTAAAGATCATGGCAAACAAGAAATGTTGAGAAAAGGAGCACCATGTCTCTTTTGATGACATCTACGGTTCACTGGCGTAGTGCTCACATTGTGAATTATTATCGCTTCCCCCCCCCCAGTGGCCCCCCGTGGCATGATTTATGTTCAATGGACTGCTTTCAGCTAACTACTTCGTCGACTGCATTAATGAGCAAGATCTGGACGAGATGAATGTGGAGCTAATTAGAAATACGCTGTACAAGGCTTATTTAGAAGATTTCTATAAATTCTGCAAGAAATTGGGAGGCACTACTGCTGAAGTCATGTGTGAGATTCTGGCTGTAAGTTCAAAAGAGTTTCCTACGTAGATTGTTCATTCGAAGCATTTATTTTGGTTAAATAATATGTGCCTTAACGATTATTTCCTGAATGCAATCGTTACAGTTCGAGGCAGATCGCAGATCCATCATTATCACAATCAACTCTTTTGATACAGAACTTAGCAAAGATGATCGTGAAAAACTGTATCCCAGATGTGGTAAACTTTACCCAGAAGGTGAGGATAATAAACAAGTTTCAACTCTAACGTGATGAATTGAGTGTTTCAGGGTTGGCTGGCCTTGCTCGAGCGGATGACTATGATCAGGTCAAGCAAGTGTGTGAATTTTACTCTGATTATAAGCCTCTGTTCGAAGGCGCTGGAGGTACTTCTGGTGAGAAAACGCTCGAAGACAAGTTTTTCGAATATGAGGTTGGTGTAACAACAGCTTTTTGGCAGTTTTGCATGAAACCTAGTGAACGGGACATATTGATGAGATCGCAAGTTTTTGAAAACATTGTACTAATTGTAAGATAAGGTAAGCACTGAGTTGTTATCCTTTTTTTAAATGGCATTCTGTGAATGATTATCTAACATTCGCTTACAATTAGCTAGCGTGTTGGACATATTGCTGCCACTAGGTATGAGGGAGGGAAATGATTCTCCGAAAGGCGAGCGTTTTCGAATGTAACAACTATATCGATCGCAGTTCGTAGTTCTGGTTGAACGGCAGAGATATGGTAGGGTAGGTATTGTTGTGTCTGTACCGTAGAAGACAATTTGTGAATTTCAGGTGAAACTGAATGTACAGTCATACCTTCACCAATTCCACTTCGGTGCATTCTATGCTTTCATCAAATTGAAAGAACAGGAGATGCGGAACATCATCTGGATCGCTGAATGCATCTCTCAGCGACATCGCACCAAGATCGACAACTACATTCCGATTCTGTAAAGGAATAGAGCAGGAAAACCATATCATATTGTTGACTTCACACCAACAACGTCGTCGTGCCCTTTCTACTTTGGGGCTTCTTCCGATAGAACAGGAAGATGTTGACCCCAGACCTTGCTTTCTACTTGGGCTTATTATTTTCACGTGAATGCGCTGCATGTTTTTTTTCACTTCCAACCTACTAGTAGTTGATAGTTTTACAGATTTCTGAGATCCCGTTTGAAACCCCTTTGTGATTCGTTCATTCCATGTAACATATAAGGTATCGAGGCTACCGTTTCAGCTATGACAAATATATATTCTAGGGATAAAAGATTCTTATTCTGATCTAGGTACTCTACCATAGTGCTGTCTTATTGAAACTTCTGTGGTATTGTGTAAATTGTATAGATAGACTTTTCTCGAAATTCCTAATGAAATCTATGGCGAACCCTCTGGTTGATTAGAAAAACTGTTTTAAATGTTGAGGTTCAAACCTAATTAAGTTTGTGTTAGTGAGAGGTGGCGATATATGTCATTAGCGCAACAGAAACCTGTGCTTCCCATTGTGAAAAGCCGCCCACAAGTTTTATTTTTGTGATAGGTCCTAACCGAGGAGCTTCGGGCCACTTTCCCGTCGTGCAACTGCTAATTAGGCCGTTTTCCAAAGATGTTATGGAACATGACGCTCCAGCAGAAATCGAAAAGGTCGCATCAAACATTATTATGACAACAAAGGGGTAAATATAGATGGAAGCGAAAAGGCATCACGACTACAAGGAAGTGCCAAACTCAAACTTTTCACACTGGATTAGCAGCTTACCTTTCCGTCGGCGTTGTTTGTAGGTGATGTTCTTAGGGGAGGAGACGGAAGAGAGGGAAACTGTGAGAGTGCTCTTCTGACAAGTCGGAGCCAACTCCCCTCACGTCATCCACTTTGTAGCACTTTCCGCCATAAGAAGTCCCCTCGGCCTACTCTTGTTCTATATTTAGCACTGTTCTGGCTGAGACGCATTTGAAGTGGTCAGAGCATTAAATAGCCCCTAGATGTTAGCCTAAATGCCTTGTTAACTCACCTTGTTGAGATGAAGGGTTGTAAAAGGAGTGTAGGAAGCAACTAAGAATTATATCCAGTCTCTAACAAACATTGGGGCTTTCTACAAAGTCAAAAAAAAAACCGATCGGTGTCCTCTGTAAAGTTGATTGCCACAATGTGACAACTGATCGAAAGTAAAATCTCTCCTGGTCTGACTCGAAAGAAACTGCCAGAGCTAAGACTCACCCCGAAACCTGGAGAGCATTGATTTCCTGTGTGAATCCTCTCAGTGGCTGTACATCGGCCGGTCACCGTAATTCATTACATAGACCAAATACGCATTTAAACATCCCTACGGTCTTGAATGAATGCCAAATGCGGGGCATGTCTTGGAAAAGGTACTGGCTATGTCGTAAACTTGACCCTTTGTTTTCACCATAGATTTGACTCCAATAGTGTGAAGCTTTCTGTGATAGTCGAGGAAAAGGCCGAGGGTTTTTTCGTAGGGTACTGCCCCGCCGTTGTTCTTAGGTAAGCAAATGTCGCAAGACGCTGTCGCAATCGCAAACGAGTGACGCGGATTAACGGATTTTCTGGTTCTTGAGAAATTTTGAAATCCCTTTCTTAGTGTACAGAGTGTTATAACGAATTTATTCTTTTCCATGTGTGAGGCATTGTGAGCGCTACCACAATAGAAAATCAGTCTCTATAGGCAGTGCCAGATGATTTGATTGAAGTAGTTGTGTTCAAGCTTATTGGTATCACAATTTATGCAAAATCTTTCATGTGACATCAAAACGAAATGTTTTGGTCCAGTTTTTACTTCACAAATAGTAGTCATCGAATCAGTTAGCATCTCATTTCTCTTTTCATCATAAACGCATAATCCAACTACCCAAAGACTTTCTCTGGTAACCTCGGCTTACTCTTTTACAGAAACAAAACAATTGTGCTGGCCTCGACGCAAACTGGGCAATGGATTCCATTTCCACCTCCCAATGGGAAAAAGAATTTTTGGTTGAATGTAGCGATGGATCGTTGGCTTGCATTCACCTCTAACCATAGACAACAGTTAAAATCATTCACTTAGACAAGGGAAGTTTGATACCACATTAACTATGCCTGACGGGGCGATAACCTTTCTGTGAACACACTCGCGCCAGCCATACTTTCGACGCTTTTGGAGTTAACCATTCATTGAAGTTCTGAGGGAGGTGAGGAGTGAAGGGCTTGTACATCGCGTAGCTCCAGCAAGTCATTGTACAGGTTCAATAGGTACTTACCGCTTCTGAAATTACATATCGGAATCGAATGAGAATTCATCGATGGTGATGATTGACGTTGACTTAGACTTTTTCCTTATCTCGGTTTCTATTTCTATTGCAGAGTAAACTTCAGCCGGGAAATGAGACTCGTACTAACCCCGATCGCAGAAATTGAGCGCGCCCATGAACTAGCCAACTCCAAGTCCTCCGAATGCTCCACTTGGCAAATTTGGATGATCGCTGCTCATCGGTTCGATTGGACTCGTCCAGAATTTTTGATGTTGGCATTGTTCAGCCGGGCATGCTGGCTAGCTGCGTAATGTGTGTGGTCAGCTGCGTGTTTGTCCTCTTTCTAGCTGGTACAGACTGCGTTCTATAGTTATGATGTTTGCTTTGACATCTCTTCATATCTCACCATAGCAATCCTGTTCAGTTCCTTGGTAACAAACCAGCGAGAAGCACTGCCAACATCAGCTTACAATTTTTCCACTCTATGCAGTGATCTGGTAACAATTCCTCTCCATCTTGCTCCTTTTCATTGTTCTGTGACCGCTTTCCACTAAATACAGTGAATCCAGTAATTTCGACTATGTATAATTCCTGCCTGAAAAACTTGAGGGGGAAGTGGTGTGGTGACAAGTGGCGCACTATCACACGCATGGTCACTGGTTCGAATCCCGAATTGATATCTGCCAAGGCCAACCAAGCTTCCGTCCCTCCTCGGTCGGTTAGTTGGAACCAGACTCGTCTGGGAGGATAAAACCACTGACTTGTACAACGACTGGCCACCGCAATTCATTGTAAGGGCCATATAAACATTCAATATGCCACCACGATTCGGAATAGAAGTCGAATGCGCGGGCGCATCTCTCAGACGGAACTGGTTGATGCCCCAGGACTTTGGACTTTAGATTTTATAATTCCAGCCCATGGCGGATTTCCCATCATTTACAAGGATGTGGTAAGGCTCGCGTGAGTTACGAGTGGTAAGGTTGAAATCCACTTACCTTCGGAAACCCAGAAAAACACTAAATTGACTGAGCCGAGTGGCTGTATTCGATGCGTGACCTCTGAAAGTAATTTTCGACGGACGGTGATTTACTCGATTACATGACCACCATACTATTTCAGCAATGGGCTAACATTACTCAATTGTCGCCAAGGCTGCCCTGTTTTATTTCACACACCCATACACACTCATCCTTCAGAATTAGACCAGTTCAATGAACAACTTTTGGCTAACCTACCTGGGCTTGGGAATTGATGGTAAAGGAGTCCATATGGGGCGGGCAACACTAATCACTAACCCAAAACAAAATTGCTCTTCATTGTCAAAATAGATGGTTCTGTTAGCTCTTAACGTCTCTTATTTGATTTGGTGAAATGCAAGGGTTCTGGTATGAAATTGTAAAAAGGGGCCATGTCCACTGTCTCAAAGCCGGAAGTCTTTTGACATTAATTAATCCCGTTTGGGGTGCGCTCCGCATTTGACTTCCATTCAGAATCGTAGTGGCGCTTCGAATGCGTATTTGACCTATAAATGGCTTGCGATTGCTAGTCGATGTACATACAAGTCAGTGCTTGTGTCCTCCCCATACTAGTCTGACACCAAGAATCCGATCCAGGAAGATTTTTTTCTCGAATGTTTATGTTGACCATAAACAAGGGCGATCAGGGCCAGTATCAACCGGGAATCGAAATCGGGAATCAGACTTTTATGGTGAGCACACCTTTCTACCACCTTTCTATTCATTGTACCAGAAGTAAATTCAGTGAAGAGTAACGTATGAATAAATTTAGTGAAGAAGTAAAGTAAAAGAATTCGATGTCGTCATTCCTCCCAACTCAGCCGGTTCGTTCAAATGAGCTATTATTGCTACTACAGTCGCAATTATTGCTTTAGCATAGGCTCGTTCGGAAAACAAGCCTAAGCAAAAACTTCTGATCCTGGCACTATGCCAAATACGAATTTGGTTACTTTTATGATTTAGATGAAATTCTAGTTTTCGGTACATTAGGAAATGAGTCACCACGATGACCTCTGCTTCCCTGATCCCATATGTAGTTGCGGTTTAGTTGAAGATTCATTTGAATTCATTAGAATTGCAAATTGTATGACTCAGGACCATACTTCAGATCGATATTTCAACAAATCGATATTTAGACAGATATCTTACTCTACTCCTCTTTATCATATTTTGATCATTGATTGATGTTATGATTATTTATTTCGTTCTACTGCGCTCGAGTTGCTTCGTGAACTGGCAGTCTGCCAAACTTTCAGCGTTTCTTATCATTTTTAGTAATCTTCTGATGAATATCTTCTCCATTGGTTCTTGTAATTGCGACAGGCTTTATTTAAGATTTTTTTTTCAATACCTAATACATGCTTCCGACTTGTTTTTTCCCTTTTACTACATTTTTTGCCTTTTACTAGATTTTTTGATCTTTTTTTTTGGAAGCTGCGCAAATATGTTGATCAGCCAAACATTTGAGTCTGAAACAAAATTGCAATCCTAAATCTGTCAACAGAATTGTATTTGTACGTATTGGACACATTCGTCTTTGAGTTTTTATGAATATATCAATCACAAATCCCTCTTTTAATGATTTTTTTGGAGAAAACGGCGCTTTCCTCAATGGGTAAAGCGGTTTGCTACAGCTTCAGACAGTCACATACTGTAAAACTAGTGTATCTGGCAATTCGTCCTTCCTTATGT